CCCCCCCCCCCCAGGGAACCTGGAATTTAGCTTCCGCACCTATCCCCCGTGACCCTGCAAATATCTAGTCAAAACCTAATGTAACAGTTTTAAAAGAAGTCAGGTTCCTAACTTCCTTAGAACTTGCTGAACTGTTTCTCTTTTGGTGGGAAGCATAGAACTACCCTGTCCTTTATTTTCTCATTTCCTGGTGATTATCAGACTTATGACATTAAGGAACATTATTCATAAAGATGATACAGGTGATTGCACCTTTGTGCTTACTAAATTTATTGGCTGGAGCTTCTCGGACACTTTGAAGATTGAAATGCCTTTTTTTCCCTTTGGGCTGTTTTATGCTGACAATTCCTTGTCGGAGACACTCCGTATTTCCTAATAATTCTGATTGTTACTGACAACTATAACTTCTAATCTTTGTTGTTTTCTAAAGCTTGGTTTCTTTTTTGTGTGTTGTGTCTATGTACTTCCATTGTTGACTATGAATATTACATGTATGTGAATAATTATGATTTTTCACATCATAACGAGGAATCTCTTAAATGAGCCATGCTCTTTGAATAGGAATAAAATATGTTGTTTTCAGTTCTTCACACTTTATGGGCCTTATTTTACTTATATGATAGCCTCTTTTCATATGTGTTGCAATTACCTTTATTATTACATCTATTAGTGAGTATGCACCGGGTATGTTGTTGTTGTTAGTGTGTATGCATCTAGAAAGCAAGCTGAAGAGCTAGATATAGAACCTTGGTGACATGTCTTGACTCAAGACTGTTAATTCTTGATTGTCGTACTCATATTGGAGCCAATTTGCACAACTACTAAGAAGTCAAACTAGTGAACTCTCAAAGAAGTCACTCTATGCAACTTGGTATGTCAAGATAAAACTAAGTATGTGGCAGTTATTCCTTGCATTGGTTAATACAACTTGGATTATGCCCAGTACTACTTGTGATCTTTTGAGGTGCTGGAACAATGTAGGTGGCTGGGGAAGGAAGAAGAGATGGTGGAGGGCTATACCAGCATGCATTTGGTGGAATGTCTGGAAGGAAAGATAAAACCAAGTATGTTGTGGCAGAAAGCTTACAAACTAGAAATAACAAGCAGCCCGAAATTAGTGGAAAGTTATTAGGAGACCTTTTAAAGAACTTCAATACTCTGGTAATTTTCAAAGTGCAAACTTAAAATCTGAAGGCGTGATCTGCTACTGCAATTTGATTAGGTCATGAAATTTTTGCAAGTGTTGCAACCATAATGGTCATGAAATTTTTGCAAGTGTTGCAACCGTAATGTGTCACGCGGACAAAATAGCTGCAAGCTTTTGTGGATAAGAGTTAGTATGAACAGTAATAGTTGTGCAGTGCTTATGCTTTCCTATTTGTAGAGAGAGAGAGAGAGTGTGTGTATATCGCTTATGTTCGTTCACATAGTATCGCTTATGTTGACTATCCCATTGAGGGTGTATATGACATATGGCTATTATGGGACATTTATTCCTCTAGAGACATAATGTTGATAGTTCTGAGCTAATAACCTCCTCCACAGGTAATTCCACCATTGTTTTTGGCTAAAATTATTGGCTGAAGATCCTCAGATTTCTTTGAGGTTTGAGGTCCTTTCTTTCCTTTTGGGTTAAACAGTTGGACAGTCTTTAGTGTCTTCATAGAATAGCAGTCAGCACGAAATAGCATCTGGGCAACAATTAAGTTGTTTGTTCAAATGAACCTTGATCCTAGCATAGGAATAATTTAATTTATGTTTTCTTAGAAGGAAAATTGAGTCAAACCAAACTGTTAAGTGTGAACACCTAGTCTGAAGTTGATTAATTTTTCTAACTTAAAAGAAGTGCTAACCAATTACTGTAATCTCTACTTTTTTGTATTTGTCTACAATAACTATCTGTGCCCTTTAGCCAAATAATTATTATAATCTTTTCTTTGTTTATTTTCAGTTAATGTAATCTTCTATTATTCAAAAGTAGTAAAATGCATTTATTACTAAGTGAGAACGCTTCATCACATCTCACTTTCTGGTTGGTTATAAATGTTGAAAGATTCATATCCTAACACATGTGTTTATTTTTTTCCAGATCGGTCACTCTCGTTCCTTTTTCTTTCTTAGATGCTAGAAATGGTTGTCCGTCTTATCAAATGATAATCTTTCATGTTATGTGTAAGGAGAATCACAAACCTGACAAATATATGTGACCATCTCTAAAAGAAAGAATACAGTATTTCCCGGTGTTTAGATAAATTTTTGTCATTTCATTTACAAAAGAATGCTCTGTTTGTGAAAAAAATGTCATATCGCGTTCTTGAAAAAGACATTTGTCAAGCTTGTGATTTTCCTCTAATGGCATGGAAAATATTATCAACTGGTGAGTGGACCTCCATTCATCTGAGTTGGAAAACGGAACGGGTCATTGATCGGGTACTTCTCCGGTGCTGGAGCTGGAGCACTTTCATCGATTTTCAAGATTTCAGTGTTGTTTTTGAGTCGGTGAAATTGGTTTTTTCCTTAGAACCCTAGATTGATTAACCCTTTGAGTGATTCTTATCCTGTTCCATGATTATTTGTTGTTTATTTGTGTGGATGTGTGCAGATTTTGGAACCTTATTAACTGCTTCAATTTAATTACCAAATCTTGAATCCAAATTTGCTTTTAGAAGAAGCTAGGAAGATTTTGATAATGTAATTTCTGGAAATTGTTCTTTTATTGACTGTTATGATGTATGTATCTATAAATTTGAACTCTAGAAGATTAAGTTAGCTTACTAGTGCATCCACGAAACCGTAGATGAAACTAATTTGAATTATTTTACCGATTACGATTAGTAAGCTCTATTGCAGGAAATGGATATGTTTCTAAAACTCGACGATAGGATTGCTTGGTAAGTGATTTCATACTCATCTTTGATAAAATCGTCTTGTTACTGACCTGCTATTTTTGAGCTTCTGTTTCTTAACATGTTATGTCAGTATTATCCTTTTCTGTTTTTTGTTACTTGGCAGACTTTGGGTTTCCTTCAACACATCCACATACGGATGGCTCATCTGAAGGAGTTTCTTCTGAAACGAGAGCCCTTCCAAATGTAAAACCTGTCTGGATACGCCTTGCTATTCTAGATTCATAGATTTGCTTTTAGAAGAAGCTAGGACGATTTTGATAATGTAATTTCTGGAAATTGTTCTTTTATTGACTGTTATGGTGTATGTATCTATAAATTTGAACTCTAGAAGATTAAGTTAGCTTACTAGTGCATCCACGAAACCGTAGATGAAACTAATTTGAATTATTTTACCGATTACGATTAGTAAGCTCTATTGCAGGAAATGGATATGTTTCTAAAACTCGACGATAGGATTGCTTGGTAAGTGATTTCATACTCATCTTTGATAAAATCGTCTTGTTACTGACCTGCTATTTTTGAGCTTCTGTTTCTTAACATGTTATGTCAGTATTATCGTATTCTGTTTTTTGTTACTTGGCAGACTTTGGGTTTCCTTCAACACTTCCACATATGATGGCTCATCTGAAGGAGTTTCTTCTGAAACGAGAGCCCGTCCAAATGTAAAACCTGTCTGGATACGCCCTGCTATTCTAGATTCATAGATGTTTGAGGAGAAGCAGCCACTTTGGAATTATCTTTGGTATATCTAAATAATAGATTGCATGCTGATGCTATATCTGAAGTCTGAACAAAGTGGAGAATGGAGACTCGTAATCCTGAAGTGTTATCAGGTTTTGGTGCACAAGGTAGCATACCGTCGAGGAGAAATTGTACGTGCTTAATTTTACGATTTATATACATGTAGGCCATAGTGTTTTCCCATGTCTCATAAATAGTCAAAATCATAGTTGGCATCCCCTTTCTTATTAAATGTATGTAAAAGCTTTTGATTCTCCTATGTATAATTAAGTAGCTCTTTAGAACGGAACAAAAGTTGACCTACTGTAGAATTCTCGAATTTTAAAAGATGTTTGGAGCAAACTTTGCTATACTTTAGAACATAGTTATGCTTGATCAAATTGTCAGTGCGATTATAGATGAGAATGGTGAGTGAACATCACTACGATGTTTTATGCTTTTTTACCTCTGCCAACTTCTTAGCTATATGCCGCTCCCCACCCCCCAGGAAACCTGGAGGTCTGCTTGCGCATCTACCCCCCTAACATTATCAAGGCATAACCCAATGCCGAGAACATTTTAACTGATGAAGTTAGTGTCCCAACTTCATCAAGAACTTGAGGAACTATTTTTCTTTTGTTGGGTATGTAGAAGTCCAACTCCCCTGCTCTTTGTATTCTCATTATCTGGTTATTAATTTCTTAAATTGTGATGTATCTGACTTTTGGCTGTTAAGAAACATTTAATGCAGTTAATGCTGAAGTTGTAGCTGCTTTCTACAGGCAATTCCACCTTTATTGCTAAAGCTATTGGCTGAAGCTTTTCAGACCACTTTGAGGTATGAAATCCCTTTGTTTATATATGTCGAATTCATGTTTCCCTCTGTCGTTCTCGTTTTAGACTCTAAATACTTTCTAACTGTCATGTTTGGTGCTAATAATCTTAACCTCAATCTTTTTCTTATGTAATGCTGCTAGTCCTTGTCTCTGTCAACAATAAAGACATGCTGCCGCCTGATTAGAATAAAACACTTCATGAACCTTGTTGTTGCTCTTAGTATGGGAATAATCTAAGCTGCTACTTCATTATAATAAACCCCTTAAATGAGCCTTGTTCTAAGTATGGGAATAATCTAGGTTACTTTCAGTAATGCGCACCTTATGGGACCTTATTTCACCTCCTTCTTAGACTCGTAATGAGTATGCATCTGGAAGGCTAGCTGAAGTGCTAGAAATAAATGTTCACAGACACTTTTTTTACTCGAGTCAAGACTCTAACTCTCAATCTTCAGAACTCGTATTGGAGCCACTTCATAGAACAAACTACGAAGAATTGAAAATACTAAATCTATCAAAGAAATAATTCCTATGCAACTTGGTATAATAAGTTGGAAAGTAAAAGCAAGCATGCTGTGGCAGCAATAGTTACAACCCTGAAATAACTGTCAAAAAGTAGTAGAAAGTTATCAGGAGAGCTTCACTTCAGTATCTTGGTAATGATTTAACTTAAAGTGAACATGTGATGTACTATCAGAATTTGACTTGTTACGGCATGATATATTTGTGAGGGTTGCATCTGTAGCTTATCATATGGTCATATAGTCGCGGGCATTTCGACTGAATTTAATTCTTGCTGAGGAACTCGTCCCCACATATTATGAATAAATATTTAGTTGTGTTATATTAACAGTTGTCGCATCTCTCACTCTTCCTATTTATCAAGTAAATCCTCTTGTTCTCCACACTTTTGTTCCCATAGGTTGTTTTATTAGCCTTCAAAGGGCTAATCCAATTTGTAAACTTCTCAACACCAGCCTTGAACTATTAGCGCAATTGTTATATTTCCATCGTTCTGAAATCAAACTGGTTTGTAATAGTAGAATGACGCCTTTATATATTTTTCTTCCGTAGAAAGAATTATCTGCATTAGTACTTTCAATGTAACAGGGATTGCCGCCTCCTGAGCCTGGTATATTCCATATCTTCGACTTATCATTTCCCCCCCGGTATCCTTCTGTTTTTTGTAGTTTTATGTACGTGTTATTGAAATGAATTGGCAGGATATCAAAAACCTGTGAGGGTAAAGTCAAGCTAATATATAGGATGACTGGGGCCGAATGGAGTTGTGGTGGTTTGTGTGGTTTGTAGTTTGCTTTCGTATTAGGTCAGCAAATTGATCAGGTCTCTGAGCTCAAGAGGGAACTAAAATCGACTATTTGAATCCTTATTGTCCATGTCGCTTGATTTAACCCCGTCTTACTATGATATTTTGTTTAAGAATTTGTTGTAATGCTTAAATAATGAATTGATGAATGGATATTCAAGTAACTAACAAGAAAAAAGAGTTTGAGCTCTTTTTTTGGTTGACTTTTAGCCACGCGAAACCCAAGCTGACAAATAAGCAAGTGATTGGTCTTTTTTAGTCTTTATCTATGTTGTGCCGACTCTTCAAAAATGTTGTTGTACTCGTGTTGGATCCTCCAAAAATACACTACTTTTAGAGGATCGGACATGCATACGGCTACATTTTTGCAGAGTCTAAGCAACATAGGTCTTTATTAGCTTAATCGGCAACTAGGAAATGGATTGAAGACTTATTGATCTCTCCCCCCCCCCCCCCCAAAACTCTCCCTACCCCTCTCCCTCACCCTCTCTCTCTAGAGAAGCAGATTCATTGGCATATTCTATGGAATTTGATGATTAGTCCCTACTTTAGATGTCATGGGATCCATCAAAAGGACAATAAAGTGCCATTAGTGTCCCTATGCTTTGTCCTACAAATTTATTTTTAGTTGAAATGGCTCAGATTATATGCAACGGTTGTCTCAAGAATCTTTGATAAAAGAGACATAAAGGGTTAAAGTAGCAAAATTTGTATGCAAAAAGAATAATTACATTTAGTTATCTAACGGTTGGATTTTGCCAGACATTAAAGGAGTTTTCATCATTAAGAGGTAACTTTTTGGTTAAAGTTACACCATTATCCAGAAAAGATTGAAATATATACATCATATAATTTTCGCATTATCAGGTTATCTATAAACATTTCTTAATAAAATGTGGCATTTGTTATTTTGAATGTAAGCCAGGTTATCTGCGACAACAAGTAAAAATCAGCGGCAAATTTAGCCTTGTAACACCGGGTTCACCTGAACATAATATTTTTTGATGCGGAGCATAAGATTTGTCTGTTTTGAATAATATTTGCTTTAGCTTATTTCACTTGATTTATGAGTATTTTTCTTCAAATAATCTCATAGTATAAATCTTTTTGAATTAATTCTCACATTTTTCTCAATTGAAGTGATATAAACAATGATCTTTCTCAGTCATAAATTTATATAATGAACTTGCTTTCGTATCAAAACTAAATCAACACTTCATTAATGGATGCAGTTTCATTAGAAAATTGTAAGTTCTAAATGCCATAGGTATACATATGTTTGAAAAACATTACTATGAAATAAACAAGACAAAAAGGTATAAAAACTACTAGTATATCAATTAAAGAAAAAAAAATGAATATTATTCCTACTAACACTAAATATCATAAACCCTTTCAGTAGACAATACAATCCTTAAACAAAAAAACAAAAACAAAAAAAAATTGAAATTTGTAGGGAGGGAAAGAAAAAAGAAATTTATAGTCAACAACTTTAATCTACCTGGTTAGAAACCTCCTACCTTACCACCCCTCAAAACACAAACCAAACATAATTTAAAAATAAAAATAAAAATTGAGAAAAAAATGATAGATGATTTTTTCTATCTGTTTAAGATTTGGGGAACAAAGTTATGGATATTTATACTTTATCAAGATAACAAATAAGAATAGTCGAGATGCACACAAGCCGATTAAAATATCAAAGTTTGAAAAAAAAAATTAAAAAAAAAAGAAAAGAATAATACAAAAGAGAGAAGCCTCAAGAATAGTTACTAGTTATAGCTACCCTAAAATGGAATTATATTACTACAACAATTTTCTATTTCTCTCTTACTTCTTTGCTTCTTCTGTTGCTGTTGTAGAAGTAGCTTCTGCTGCTGCTGGTGGTGGTTTAGCTTCTTCTTGTGGCGGCGGAGGTGGCGGCGGAGCGGTTGAAACACCACCATCAATACAACTTCTGCATTTCCTCTCAACCCAACCTTCAATATCATCTTCACCTGAACCACTAAAATGTCTACCACCACATAACCTAGCAATTATACCAGCAATAACACCAAGTATTGTTATTACTGCTAATACAACTAACAGTGTTTCTATAGATGTATGTGTTGAGTGGTTTTCTTCCACCATTACCACCGCCACCGGCGGCGCTTCCACTAATGGTGGCAGCTCTTTCTCATTCTCCATTGAAAAAAATTTAGTTTTTGAAACTATGACAAATTGAAGCTTTTTAAGGTGAGGTGAAAATTGATGACAAGGGTTGAAAGAGAGTGTGAAAATGAGTTTGAGAGGAGTCTTGGATAATACTTTGGAGAGTTTATTAGAGTGTTAGAGAGGGTTGAGTTGGAAAAAGAAAAACTCTTTTTATGGTTGGCTGATGGTAAATAGTAAAATTTGTGGGTGAAAGTTAAAAGGACAGACCCGTGTACGAAGTATGTTGTGTTCACGCAGGTTCGAGGAAGGGCCACATCCCAAGGTATGTGATATAGGTAGCTTACTCTGATGTCACATCAAACCCGTAACTTATAGGTCACATGGAATATATGACCGTTATTCCAAGATTCCCCTTCATGTGGGTATAAGTTGAGATATAGTAAAACACTAAAGCTAGCATATAGTTTTTTTAATAAAAAAGGGCAGTTCGGTCCGCAAAGCACCCCACGTTCATGTAGGATTGGGGGAAGGGTCATCCTCAAAGAGTGTGATGTAGATGGTCTATCATAATATTAGCATTAGTGACTGCTTCCACTGCTTGAATTCGTGACTTATAGGTCATACGGAAGTAACTTTATTTGACAGTAGATAGTAAAAATTTGTGGGTGAAAGTTGAAATAGTCATAGAGTTTCAGAAATAAATTGTAAGATTTTTTTATATATATGTGTAAGTTAAATATATTCAAAGTATTGAAGTTATTCTTTTAAATGAATGTTGTGACGAATCTTTTTATTTTTTACATCCCGTTTAGACCTAAGATATTGCCTAATCAGTTGAATCCTAGTGACTGCCTAACTAGGAGATTAAAAAAAATGAACTTATGTATTAAATTAGTTCCAATAAATTATGTCATTAAGTATAAATTACTTTCCAGAAAGATAAATATATCATTTTTTAAGCCGTTTTAAAATAATAATGTCACATGAAATAAGGCATAGGAATAATACATCACGCAAGAGTGGCTCCTAAAAGAATTTCATTTGGTGCATAAAGTACTCCGTATTCGCGCGGGGTCCGAGGAAGATTTGTATCGTAAGGGATGCGATGTAGACAGTATAACTTAATGCAAGTATTAGTGGTTACTTCCACAGCTCGAACCCGTCACTTATAGATTACATAAAAATAACTTTATCGTTACTTTACGGCTAAAACCCATGACGTATAAGTCATATGAAAATTATTTTACCGTGGCTCCAAGATCCCGACTGCCCCCAATGGGGCAAAATAATAATAATGAAGGGTGACTTGCTGTGTTGTTATAAAGCTGAAGAGATCAGAAATTAGGATTCATTTTTGAAAATATGTTGCCCTCAAACAGTTTAGTGGGCCCTGAACATATGCACCTTTTCTTTTTGTCTTTTTGAAAGTTATGATTAGGATAATATCTTTGTTACCCTTGTTTAAATACAATTATAATGTATGCAATGGAATATATAATATAATTCTGCTTAATGTCAAAAACAAGTACAGATTTTTAGCTGCATGATTAGGGCTGTTCATTCAGATCGGATATTCGAAATCCAAACCGATTCATTCAATTTTGGATTTTGGATTTCGAATTGTGTTTATTAAAATTTCGGATCGGATTTGGATTGATATATTTTAATCCGATCCGAAATTCGAAATTATTAGGCAATGTATAAATACTACACTTTAATTTCGGATAGTCAATACTTCTTTTACATCTTCCTCCAAGTTATTACGTTTACAATTGCTAGATTTAGCTATATTGGCACCATAGTACTCTCATAATTGCATAAACATGAATTTTTCTTAATGTATTGCCTCTTTTACAAAGAAAATATACATATTAGTTAGCAACTTTGATGCATAATGATACGATCTGAAATCCGATCCGATCCACACTTTAAAATCCGATCCGATCTAAACTTTAATTAGGATCGGATTCGGATTGTATTTTCTAGAATCCGAAATCCGAAATTCGAAACCGAAATGTGCTAAATCCGATCCGTGCACAGCCCTATGCATGACACAGAGCAGTTCCATACTTTTAAGTAACTATGTTTATACTAATTCCATTTACTTTTACTTGTCTACTATACAAAAAATATATTTTATGTTTACTTGTCAATTTTAGCAAATCAAGAGAAGACCATATATTTTACCTTTATCATTAATTACTCATTTCATAAATTATTTTCTACGACTTCTCAAAATACTATCATTAGTATGGTACTATGGTAAAATATGCACTTCATTTATTATTTTTATTAAAGGGCGTGCAAAGTTCATTATGGACAAGTAAGAGTGAACAGAGGAAGTATTAGTTTTTTTACAAGAAATTTTGGATTTTCATGTACAATTTTGAAATAATAATTAATATGGTATAAGAAATGTCATTAATAGAAAATGTAAAAAATTTCAATAGGTGTCTACAACATAATAGGAGTAGGAATATTTACAGTTTAGTTGCAAAGTTTAGGATTTTCTTCATTTAGGTTAATATAATAGAAAATTTTAGACTATCTAAATTGAAATTATATATTAGAAAATTTCAGACTATCTAAATTGAAATTAATTTTGAATTTATAGTATGACTGGATTTTATTATGGCCTAGATCCAAGTACCCACTTTAAAAGGCCACCACTTTTAACCTTATTTTGAGGACTTTGGGATCTTCTTTAATGCTATAATTTCTAAACTTTTTAGTTGTGTATTGAACATTTTTTTCCACTTTGGTAATCAATTTAAGGTTGGTTTTGGTCTTTTTTGGGTGTAAAAATTCAATTTTCAACAACAATAATAACGACATATTCTGTGTGGTTCAACAAGCGGGATTTGGGGAGGATAGTGTATACGCAGATCTTACCCCTACCTTGTAAATGTAGAGATGTTGTTTTCGATATACTCAGAAACGGAGCCAGCCCTTCGGATATGGTTTCGGCTGAACCCAGTAACTTTTGTCCGAACTCTGTTTCTGTCTATAAAAAATTATTGAATTATGTACAAATTGTTAATTTAGAGCACAGTAACTTAAAAGACTTATAATATTGAACCCATAAATTCTAAATCCTGACTCCTCCTCTGGATAGACTTTCGGCTCAAGAAAAGTAGTGTATTGATTCTGAATTTATAGTAATACACATTTTTAAAGTCCAAAAATGTCATTGCAGTCCAATTGATACACTATAGTGTTTTTTATTTTATTATTTATAATACAAGTGAAAAAGGGTACTGTTATAATGTCAGTGATGAATAATAATTAATAATATATTTCTTTATGTGGCTACTCCCAAAAGTTCTTTTTATGGGGAGAGGGGTAGAGGGGGTGGAATTTTTGTCTTCATTGGTATCACATGTTTGCCTTTGAAAATGATGTGAGACCCCCAAGATTTTGATTGAATAGTTTCACTATTATATATACTATTTTTTTTTTTTTATTTTGTAGAAATTTTTTTACTTTCTGTCTTTAGTAATTTCCCTATTATCTTTAATAGGGTTAAATTTGCTTGTGTAACATTAAAATTAAATAATCTTGTCCTCTATTAGACATTTAATTTCTTTAGTCGATGGTCTATCGGAAACAGCTTCTATTCCCTTCAAGGTAGGGGTAAGACTGCGTACATTCTATCCCTTCCCCCTGACCCAAATTGTGGAATTACACTAGGTTGTTGTTATTGTTGTTGCCGTCGTATTAGACATTTAATCTAATATCACTCTCGACATTAGGAAAGTTACATTTTTGCCCTTAATTCCTAACAAAGTTCCAACCTAAGGATATTAAATTACAGGGATACATTTAGACATTTTCTGTTTTTAGCAATTTTTAATTTTTCTTTTTGGTTTAAAAATAATATAATTTATACATAGGGTATATGTCATCCTTAACCCAGTTGGCTATTTTGACAACTTGTAATAAATTTGATGTGATGTAACATTTTCACCTGAACCAGTCCTATTAACACTATTATTATATATATCCATATATATAGTGACATTTCCATAAAATTATCTGCAGCATTGCTGATTTTCTGTATAACATTTGTCTTGGAACAGATGGTTGATAATCTTATACACAACAAGTAATATGAAATCTGAACAGAAACGTCCTTGTTTTAATTCAAACTTTAGACAACTTCTTTATTGCTTTTGTTTTATTTAATTTTCCTAAGTAGTGAAAGTTCAAAAATTGTTATTTTCTTAGCTTACCTAGGTTAGAAAGGTTTCAGTTTTGTCGAGCGAAGCAACCACTAGTCGGCCTTAGTGCTCCAAAACACTCTTTCGCTTGCATGAGCAACAACCCCTAGCATCCAGAGCAAATGCCTTTAGTGTTCCCGACCGCCTGCCTTTCGGCCTTAGCGTTCCAAACAACTAGTAGTGTGACCGATCTTTGTTCAAAACAACCGATAACGCTAGCGACAACTCGTGAGGCCCCCTACGAAGTACCAAATGTCTTGTTGATAATTTTGTATTAAAAATTAATTGGTTGAATTGGCATAGTGAAATTCGAATTCGTTGACTCAGATGAGTGACTCTTGACTTTGTAAACATATTTGCATTGTTGGTTTTTCACCGTCATATTAAATAAAAAAGAATGACAGATTACTATGAAGAAATTTAAGAATAAGAAATCTCGAATTTAAGCCAATTATATATCGCATGCACCATAATTTATGACTATATTACTTGATTTGGTGTAAACACTTAATGCGAAGACGACTGTTTACCCACATTTCGGGCAAGTCTCAAAACAAGCCTCCTATGCAAACAAATAAAAAAAAATATTATATACCAATATAACTATAGGGGAGAAATTTCTGATAATTCTATCTTTATTATTAATTTTTTTTTTCTATAGTATCCAATGAGCTAAAAAGAACAATATACTTTCCGTCAAACAAAAGCATAGCCTACCCCCTAATAATATTTTATTTTTATGTTCAAATATTCCTTTTTGGACTGCAATCTGCCAGAAATTATGCCACTGGATTTGCATAACTATTTATCTGGAGAAAAAAATCTTACTTTAAGGAAAAATGGATTGTTAAAAAAATTTCCATGAAAAGATCTATTTGTATTTTTCTTTTCTTTTTGGGTGGCTTTCGAAGTAGAAGGACAACTTAAAAACTTGGGTTTCAGTCTTCTTTAAGGCCCATACTTAAGAGAGGCCCATTACACAAAAAATAAGAGTAATATGACACTTTTTTTTGGTTAAAATAGTACGGTATAGCCAGTTTTCGGACTGGTCATTCAAAAATAGCCACCATTTACGAAGTCAATGAAAAATAGCCACTATTTTGCTGCAACAAAGACCGGTCCCGCATAATATACGGGAGTTCGGTGCATCTGTGTACGAACTCCAGCATATTATGCTGGACCGGTATACTTTGCTGACTCCTGTATAATATACGGGAGACTGGAGCACCGGTGCTCCAAACTCCAGTATATTATACTGGACATTTATACTTGCTGAAACTCCAATATATTATGCTGGAGTTCTAGTGTACTTATGCTGGAACTCCAACATATTATGCTGGAGTTCCAGCATAGTTATCTTGGAACTCCCGTATAATATGCTGGAGTTCAAGCATACTTATGC